TTTGTCAATTAAATTACGAACTTCGGCGCTTTGGGGCCGCATGCCCACGCTAGCGCTGTCGCATCCTCTGTTTCCAAACATTCCGCCCGCCTCGTCGGATCGCGATCGATGAAATGACAGCACCGATTCGAGGTTAGGGCACGCTCGTGACGCCGCGATCCATCGATCGGGATAGCTTTAGCGCGAATCAATCGCGCGTAGTTCAAGGCGGCGGAGACCCGGCGAGCAGCCCCAACGCAGAGGCGATGTCGGACGCGACGATACCTATAACAGGACGGACACGAGATAAGTATATACAATATTTACAGGTTAGATGCAGGTTATCGGTAACGCTAAGTGAAGTGGCGACTTCCTTGCAGGCTCACGCTTACGGCCCCTGTAGCGCGATTCTGTAACTCGTTGTGTCGTCGTTACGGGCTTTGCGCAGATCTAATATACCGTAGAAAAGCTGCGCAAAGCCCGTAACGACGACATAACGAGTTACAGAATCGCGCTACTGAGGCGCGGCGTCGGCAGGCGGCAGAGGCATGATCTTGACCACCGGTCGGGTTAGCCGGCCGGTAGCAGTCCGAACGTCTACCACTCGCACCTGGTTGTCCTCTCCAGCGTGCAGCCGCACGATGCGGGCAAGGGGCCAGCGGCATGGTGGTGTCAGCTCATTCTTCAGAAGACACAGTTGTCCCTCTTTCAGGCCGCCGCTAGTGGTCCACCATTTCGGCCGTGGCGTGAGAGCCTGTAAATGCTCGCGGGACCACCGTTGCCACAGGTGATCCCGCATCTGCTGCAACAGCCGCCAATTGCTCAGCCGGTTCGGTGGCACGTCGAGGAGCGCCGGTTCCGGTATGGCGTTGAGCGGCTCACCGATCAGGAAGTGCCCGGGAGTAAGCGCGCTAAGGTCCTCGGGGTCGTCCGTCAAGGCCTGAAGCGGGCGCGAGTTGAGGCATGCCTCGACCTCAGCAAGGAAGGTAGCCATCTCCTTGTAGGTGAGCTTCGTTTCGCCTATGACACGCCGCAGATGGTGTTTCACGGATTTGACGGCCGCTTCCCACAATCCGCCAAAGTGCGGGGCAGCCGGGGGGTTAAATTGCCACCGGATACCATAGTCGGCTAGGCGGCCGATAATCCGATGAGTCTCGCGGCCGGCCTCCTGGAACATGGTTCGCAGCTGCGAGTCGGCCCCCACAAAGTTGGTCCCGCAGTCGCTGCACACCGACTGGCAGACTCCTCGACGAGATATGAATCGCCGAAAGGCGGCGAGGAACGCGTCGGCCGTATAATCGCTGACTGCTTCCAAGTGAACGGCCCGTGTGCTGAAACAAACAAAAACAGCCAGGAAAGCCTTGTAGGCTTTGTGTCCTCGGCCCTTGGACGTCCGCAGTAGAATCGGACCGGCGAAATCTACGCCGGTGTGCAAAAACGGCCGGCTAGGGTTGACCCGAGCGCCAGGTAGGTTGCCCATCAACGGTTGTGGGGATGCCGCCCGTCATCGGACGCATGCAGTACACTGATGGATATGGTGGCGGACCAGCTGACGACCTCGAGGCACCCAGTAACGTTGTCGGATGGCAGCCAGCGTGGCCTGCGTTCCGTCGTGGAGGGTGCGGCTGTGATTGAGGTCGATTACAAGGTGAGTCAGGTGCGAGTGGGGCGGCAGTATGATCGGATGTCGTTGATCCTGATCCAATAACGCGTGCTTGATTCTTCCTCCGACTCGTAGGATTCCCTTATCATCGAGGAAGGGTGTGAGTTTACGAAGCGGCCCTGACACCGGGCGGCCAGTTCGGACAGCCCCCAACTCCCGCGAAAAGTTGTCGCCTGCACTACGCGTATCCATCGGGTAAGCGCCGCGTCGATTTCGTCCGGGCTCAAGGTTGGCGGCAGGTCCCTCGCCAGCCCATCGCAGTCGACGGCCTTACGGTGTGACCACGAACGCCAGGCCCAGGCCGAGACGCGCAGCAGACGGCGGCGAAGCGACGAGAACCTCGTCAACTCCTCGGGTTCCTCCACCTCGGCGACTACGAGGCACCGGACGGTGCGTCGCTCGGGCAGGTCGGATTGCTCCGGCAAGCTGGGATCCTTCGGCCATGAGGTTGGATCCCCCCTGAGGAAGCCCGGTCCCTGCCACCACAGGGGGTGTTCCGACAGCTCCCGCGGTGAGATCCCTCGAGATGCACAGTCCGCCGGATTCTCCGCCCCCGGCACGTGTCTCCACATCGCGTCCCTGGTTAACCGCTGGATCTCCGCCACCCTGTTTGCCACGTAGGTCGTCCACTTGGCAGGATGGCCACGAATCCAGGCCAACGTGACGGTGGAGTCCGTCCATAAGAACGTGGGGACCGCGCTCAACTCGAGCGACGTCTGTAGGTGCCCGATCAGCTTCGCCAACAGGGATGCAGCGCAGAGCTCCAACCGTGGCAAGGAGACCCGCTTGAGAGGAGCGACTTTCGTCTTTGCCATCACGATCGAGATGTAGGCCTCGCCGGCGTTAACGACGCGCAAGTAGACGACGGCCGCGCAGGCTCGCTCGGAGGCATCCGAGAAGCCGTGAATCTCGATGGTGTCGACAGAGGCATGGCAGTGGAACCAACGCGGGATTTTAATTTCCTCCAGGATCGGGAGCTCCCCCTCCAGTCTGGCCCAAGCGGTAGCCTCCTCCGTGGCCAGGGGGGCATCCCAGTCCAGTTGTTGCAACCACGTAGTCTGAATGAGGAGCTTCGCCCCGACGACGATCGGTGCCAGCCAACCTAGAGGGTCAAACAGCCGAGCTGTCTGGGACAGAATCGTGCGCTTTGTTGGAGCGACGTTGTCCGATCGCCGGACCGTCAAGGACAAGTGATCGTCCTCCGGGCTCCAGCGCAAGCCTAGCACCGAGTGTTCCGCTGACGGTAGTAACGCGTCCGTCGAACGCAGCAGCTGATGAGCCGAGGGGACGTCCGCAAGGAGTGAGGTACGATTCGCGGCCCAACTTCCTCAGTGGGAAGCCGCCCGCCGTGCATAGCATAGATACCTGATGTCTGAGTTGCTGACAGGTCTCCAGAGTGGCGGCTCCACCGAGGATGTCATCCATGTAGACGTCCCGCTTAAGTACCTCCGCGCCCAGCGGGAAGCGGTTCGATTCGTCGCTCGCAAGCTGGCGCAATACGCGGAGGGCGAGGTAAGGCGCGCTTGCTGGGCCGTAGGTAACCGTATTCAGGCAATAGTCAGTCACTTGCTTGTCTTTTGTCCATAGGATCCGTTGCAGGTACCGGTCTTCCGGATGCACTACAATCTGCCGGTACATCTTCTCGATGTCGGCTACGAAGACGTATTGGTGACGTTGTAACGAAGCTTTCAGCCTTCCCGGTACTGGATTTCGGACGGGACTCCGAAATGTGTTATTACTCCGCGGAAAATAATATCAGACACGCGGTTCTGATTAATCGGTCGGAAGAGCTAGCGTTCTTTCGGTCGGTGTTTGACGTGCTGTGTGCCGGTTTAAATAAATAATCCTCCGTTCCTCCTATTTGCCGAATATGCTCAGCTCTAGGGCCGTCTGGAGGAAAGGAGGACAAGATCTTATTCGCTTAGTGAGGTAATCGCTTGGAAGGATCGGAAATAAATCGGACAGATGTTTAAAGGTTAAAACAATAGGAACGGGTTTATTCTCGGATAAATACAGTGGAATCGAGGTGATTACAATGGGTCCGCCCTAAAGTCAAATATAAAGGAAAGAAAAGGATTAATATTACAATGGGTCCGCCCTGTGATTAAATACAAGGAAAACAGGATATGATTAGTTGGATTACAATATACGGACAGTACGGAATTAGCTCGGAATACGGAAAATAATAAGTACAATTAACTGGATTTACACTGGTACGGAGAGTACGGAATTAGATCGGAATACGGAAAATAATAAGTACAATTAACTGGATTTACAACAAGGTACGGAAAATACGGAATTAACTCGGAATACGGAAAATAATACACGCAAGTATCTGGATTTACACTGGTACGGAGAGTACGGAATTAATCAGGACGGATGGCCGTACGGAATCCGTTGGTCTGCAAGAGAAGAAAAGTAACGGGATTAATTCTACGGACTTAATTAGAATTAATTTAGAAATTCTTTCCCACCCGAATATTACCCCCCTGAGTTCTACACCGGTCAGGGATCAGGAAAAGGATCAGATCAGGACAGGATCACGCCCGAGCAGCGCCTCGTTATGCGTGAGTTTCAGTAGTGATTGTATACCGAGGAGCACCCCGTTAGGTGTACGCTACTGCGGAATTACTCCGTCCCCGCGAGACACGGCGGTACCCGTTAGCACGGGGGAACGGAGCCAGGACGGATACAGGGGACCGGTACGGGGAAATTTGTAGCATGTGTACGCCGAGGAGCACCCCGTTAGGCGTACGCTACTGCGGGACGGGGCCCACAACGGAGTAGTGCCTCCGCTGTGTGCTCCGGAATGGCATATAGCCGAAGACAGGAGCACCCATTCACTCCGGCTTATACCTGTGGAGGTACCCACTGCACGGTGTCGACGGTCGGAGCACCAAGCGTCGACTGAGTTAAAGCGCCTGCTCCGGAGGGGCTTTTATACCCCCCGGATGTAGGCGCGCGGGGAGAGGCGGCGGGGGCGGGCGCGACGTTGCCGGCTGCCGTCGACGCGGCAACCGCGCCGTTTATCGATTTTCCACCCGCGGCTCTATTTCCTTCTCTCTCGCGCGTGGTATGCAGTTTTTTCTGCTTCCGGCCGCGCCTCCCCGGTCGCCTCCGTTACAACGTCTCCAGCGGGTCACGACATCCGCGAGAGACGGAAGTAGGTTGGGTCCCGTGTGCAGGCATTCAGGGAGGCTCCCGTCGCCGCTCGGGACAATCCATTGAATACGACTCGAATCTTCGCGTCGGTGCCCAAGCCCTACATCACACCGTGGTGCGGCAGGTAACACGAGCGGGTGTCAGAGGCCACTGACAGCGACGCGCTCGGTGACATGTGGCCCAAGCTCAGGTACTCGGCCATGAAATTCCGAAAGCGATCGCGGAAGGCGGGATCGCGTCCGAACCTTCGCTGCATAACGTCGAGCATGTGAGACGCAGCCCGACGTGTGGTGGAAAGATCCGGTAGCTCCCGGCGTAAAGGCAGCCGGACCTGAAAGCGACCGTCTGCCAGGCGTTGATGCGTCTGTATGAAGTGGTTCTCGCACGCCTGCTCGTCGGTGGATAGCGGTACGTCAGCGCTCGGCGCTTCCTCCCACTCCCAGAAGCGGCGGACGAGACTAGGCAGGTCGTCGGCCACGGAGCATTGCAGGGAGGTGACCACGGAGGCGGCGTGCTTGGGCCCCACGGCTCCCAACAAGATCCAGCCGAGGTGCGTCCGCTGAGCGACGGGCTCTGAGGGCCCTCCCCGGCGGAGTTCCGGAAGTACTATGCTGGCGTACGCCTCAGCTCCGAGCAGGAGTTCCACCGGATCTTGGCCTGTGAAATCGGGGTCCGCAAGTTCGAGTCCGGCAGCGTGAGCCCACGACCTACCCTCGGTCCCCTCTGGGCCGTTGTATACGGACAGTTGAGGCAGTATTAGCGGGGACTGACGGCAGCTGCGTTGCTGGCGGGGACGGCTCCGATCGACCTGGCAGCGAGGAGCCATGCCGAAATGTACGAGCGGTTACAGGTACTGAAGAACAGGGGCGTCCCCATCACCAAGGGGGTAAGGAGGACCGTGAGGCTCCAGCTACAGGAGCTCATAAGAGAAAGGTGGAAAGCCAGGCTCTCTGAGCCGAACAGACCTGGGCGTAGGACTGTAGAGGCCATACTACCCAGGTTTGACGAATGCTGGACAGAGTGGCGGCAAGAGCATCCTTCAGGACGACATAGGTGCTCTCCGGACACGGCTGTTTCGGGGAGTACCTGTGTCGTATAGGACGAGAGGTAGACAACAGATGTCATCATTGTGACGGGGACGGGGACACGGCGCGCCACACCCTCGCTGAGTGTAAAGCGTGGGAAGGGGAGCGTCGTGCCCTGTCCGAGGTGATTAGAGGGGACCTATCGCTGGGAGCGGTGGTGGATGCAGTTGCAAGAGAAGAGGAGGCCTGGACAGCCTTTTCCACGTTTTGTGAGAAGGTGATGTCCAAAAAAGAGGAAGACGAGAGGGTGAGGAGAGGAGAGGTCGATCCCCCTACACCCTCAGATGGCGACGGAGGAAGGAGGGCCCTGCCGGGAAGAAGGGGTAGGCGCCGAGGCCGACTGGCCCACTTGAGGACGGACTAGCAAGTCCGACACACACATACAACGTGTAGGAGACGTAGGGTTACATAAGGCGTACGGGTGCCGCTTGAAGAATAGCCCCGGGGTAGCCCCTGCCTGTCGTAAAAGGCGACTAAAAGGAGAGGAGGAAGAAGATAGGTCTGGGACCCTAGGGGTGGGCACAAGCTGGGAAACTTGTGACTCACCCGCCCCCACAACAACGAGGGGCGCGGCGGGAGGCCTGGTGGCACCCCCGCCGCATAGCTGAGGAGAAGGCCCTTCTCAGGGCCGATGGAGGAGAAGGCCCTTCTTCAGGGCCATACCCAGCCGTGGGTACAGAGGTGCGCGAGATAACGCGCGGCGCGGGGACTGACCAGCAGTTCGATGCTGTTGCGATACCTGGCAGTCCCCAATAGCGCAGAGAAGTCCACCCCCGGTGGTTTTAGTGCGGTAGGCGTCTCCATTGCACTACTGGCCCCATGGGTTGTAAATGGCCCAGGGGCCAGGGAGACGAGTCCCACACACCACCCCCTCCCGTCCCAGCGGGAGCGGGGTGACGGTCCATGAGGATTTCCACCGGGTCAAAAAAAAAGGATTAGCGGGGACACTGTGAGTGCAAAGTTGCCTGAACGCGCAGTGACTGTCACCGTTACGCGGCCCCGCGACCAACCCGTTTGAGTGCCGCCGACTCCGAAACTGGCTACGGCAGTAGGGTATATAGGCCGGTTCTAACTCGGGAGCTCCGAGGGGGGAGCGGGGCGGGGGGTACCCCGTGGCGAGGGGACAGCGGGGAGGGGGGTACTCCGTGGCGAGGGGACCGCGGGGAGAAGTGGGAGCACGTGGTCTTGACATCGCGCAAGATGCTGACCTGTCACTACGTGACATGTAACAGATATCTAGGTGCTGACCTGTCATCGAACACCTGGACGGGTATGAGTCATGGGGTCAAGCGCCGAAACCTGGCTGATGACTTT